TGAGGCATTTTCTCACCCTCATATATGTCATTGAATATTTGAGTCAAAAACCTCACTGCCATCTCTCCAAGACATTTCCAAACCTCCACTGGTATGTCATTAGGTCATACTGCCTTCCCCTTCTTTATTCCTCCTTAGGTAGATAACTTTACTAATTGGCTTTTATGTATGTGAATGTTCCTGTAAAGTGCCCTTAGACAACTATGTTGTGATTTGGCGCTATATAAATAAACTGAATTGAATTATTCTTTTCAGAGCTTTCCGGACTTCACCCTCACTAATCTTTCCCACTTCCTGGTCCACAGCTTCTATAATCTTTACTCTTCTTTCTTTTACATTCTCTTCATTCATTAGCTCCTCAAAGTACTCCTTCCATCTTCCTGTCACACTCTCCTCACTTGTTAGAATATTACCATTCCTATCTTTAATAAGCCTAACCTGCTGCACATCCTTTCCAGCCTGATCCCTCTGTCTTGCCAATTGGTACAAGTCCTTCTCGCCCTCTTTAGTGTCCAGTCTCCCATACAACTCATCGTACGCCCTCTGCTTACCATACCATACCATACCAACTTTATTTATAGAGCACTTTATGCACCCAACAGGACCAAAGTGCTTTACACAATTATATAATACAATACAATGATAAAATGGAAGGGTAAAATTTAAAACAGGAATAAAATAATAAAATAAAATACAAACACAATAAAACAAGGTAAAAACATCTGCTTGTAAACTAAGTGTAAACTAAGAATACGCTAAACACTAATAATGTAAAACAATATGTCGAACAACAGCAGCATGAACATGAGTCTGTGTGAGCAGATGAGTACAAATGAATACAGCATCCTGAAATAGATCAGCAGCATGAGATCAGCAGCATGGATAGTCAGCGGCACATATTACCAATCAAAGTGGCATTACAGTGATTTATTCTTTTTTCACAGTGATTATTCTGGTTAGAGATTCACGAGTCTAACAGCCTCAGGGTAGAAGCTGTTCCTCAGTCTAGTGATTCTACAGTTAATGCGCCTCAACCTCCTTCCTGAGGGGAGCGGGGCAAAACGTGTGTGTGCTGGGTAAGTGGGATCCTTCATGATGCAGGTGGCCCTCTTCCTGCATCTGCAGGTGTAGATGTCTGTGATGGTGGGGAGGCTGACTCGAACAGATTTCTGTGCAGCCTTCACCACTCTCTGCAAAGCTTTTCTTTCTGCAGCTGTGCAGCCTCCATGCCACACGTTGATGCTGGAGCACAGGATGCTCTCCACTGCACACCTGTAGAAGGAGGTGAGGACTGAGCTTCCCAGTCCAGCTCGTCTCAGCCGTCTGAGGAAGTAGAGTCTCTGATGAGCTTTCTTGATCAGGCTGGTGGTGTTGTTGCTCCAGCTGAGGTTGTCATTCATGTGTACACCCAAGTACTTGTAGCTGGAGACCACTTCCACCGCAGACACACACAACCAGCATATATGCTGAAAGCAGAGGTTTACAGTTTCCAAAAGACCTGAATTATCCCTCGTCTTTGGAAAACATAATCTCAATTTTTTTATAATCTTTGCAGTTTTGCCTTCTTGAATCCACCAGAATAAAACTGTATTTACTGAACAACTTCATCTCCCAGGGGGGGTTTCAAGCATTCTCCCAGTCAAAATCACCCTTTCTGACCCGATTTCAAGGAGTTGTACAAAGAAGCACATTACTCAGTGTGTGTCAGTCTCACAGCTGGTTTTTGTGGGAATGACGTGAACGTGTTGACGTTAGATTCTTTTGTATGTAAGGATTTGAACATGGGATTATTTGTGCATTTTGTCCAATCCATAGAGTTACAGCCCCATGTAAAGCAGGGGACACCCAGAGAGGCTTTGTAGTTACACTCAAAGTCCATGACGCAGAGGCAGAGCTGGAGCAGGAAGTTAGGAGGTTATTTTAAGATAAATGGCATGAAAATAAATGTTTTACACAGCGGGGAAAGGTTTGAACTAATGCTTCATTTCCACCAAAAAAATATGTTTTTGAGAAATGACAAGTTTGTGCAATAAAAATACAATATAAATATGTTGTGAAGGTTTGTCACAGCTTTAATCAAAGAGGAATTGGAGCAGATATGTTCATATATTCTGAAGACTTTTCTAGATTTTTGTAAAATGTGAGTTTGAGTAAATAAACTACAGTTGAGTCAAACAATCATTTCCTATTTTATTTGAATGGGGCAATAAATGAATGTGTAGGTAATCATAAAATACAAAAACAAGCAAATAAAGGTAGGTTAATTTTTGAAATTTACAACCTAAAAAAAAAAATCTCAACTCAAATAGACAGTTCCAAACTGTTCCTTCCTGTGACACATGGCCAAACGCATGTTTCTTTAACTTTGCTCTAGTTGCTCTCTCTTAAAGAAACTGGTCCAGATTAGGGATGCACGATCCACTTTTTATTTTATTTTTTTTACTTCCAATACGATACCAATATCTGAGCTTTAGGATCGATCGATAGATATCCGATACCGATCTGATACAGGAAAAACTGTGCTGAATTAACAAAAATGGCTCAATCATGTCATCTAGACCCGTTTCTGAAACAGGTCCAGATAACATGATTGAGCCATTTTTGTTGTCTACCTGGATGATTTAGCTTACAAACCCAGTGGTGAATTAACTTAAAATATTTGTTTTTTTTAAATGCAGACATGAATGTACTGAATTACAAATTTATTGAAAACTGCACCATAACAGCACACTTAAAACACACCAAGAACTTCACAAGCATGGTCAAACATGTACAAACAACTCAACTTTAATTTGTTCACTCAGTACAATTATAACATCCAGTGTAAAATAAATATTAATAAAGATACTGAAACTGGCAAAAACAAAGTTTGACTACTTTGGTCAAACATGAAAAAAATAAACTTCAACAAACTTTTCAAATGGTTCAGACATTTTAAATACAATGTAAAATAAATAATAAAAGAGCTGAAATAAGAGGAAAAACCAAACTCTTCACTAGCTTGGTTGGCAGATATTTAAAACAAACAGCAACCAGAGCACA